ACAATATGTGAAGTTAGAAAAGTTTTACAGGACAATATATCAATAAAATCATACATCATTATATTCCAATGTAAAAGAATACTAATCAGCACCTTATTTGGCTAGGCTGAAAACAAGCAATGACACTAAAGAAACCCTCATTTATATTTCTTTGGATTGTTAAAACAATTACTTTACATGGTGGAAGATTCGTCAGTAACTTTAAATTGAAAATCATAATGATCCAAAATAAAAGTTTAAATTAAAGTAAACACACCGTTCCTTTCTCTCCTGCAAGTCCTTCATTTGTTTCTTATAATGGTTTTCTATATACTGCTTTGCAGCTTCAACCTTCTGTTTGGTCACATTTGAAGGTGCTATTTCATTGGTTGGGGGTTTTGACCCTTCTTTTCCAATGCCTGTAGTTTCCTTGTTTTTTGAAGACTGTGTTTTGTCCTTTGGCTTGAACTTATTAAACCAGCACCTATCCATTTTGGAATTCTCTTAAGCCTGCTGTGTTATGCACTAAATATTAGTAGTTTTCTCAACAAAGAATCACATTTTGCCTACTAGAAAATTAAATAGCCAATATTCACCATATGAATCCAAGGCACCATAACTGTTACTTCTTCCCAAATATGAAAATAATGCTAATGAATCAACAAACTTAAGCTGCCAACCATTTTTTTTTCTTTTGCTGATTAAAAGTATAACTTTCACATTGAGAGTAAAAATACTCTAGAGTCATTAAATCGGAATAAAACAAGTGAGTGCTAACAAATGCAAATAAACATAAAGAAATTTAAGAGCTCCTTTCATTTGGTGCTAGAATAAAAATATAACACAAAGGGCAAAAGAGTTATTATAATAATCCAATGTCAACTGGATCAAATTGTCTAAGAAAGTGAGGAAATGCAGTACTATGAATATAATTAAACCTAAACATTGCGAAAGCAGGACAATCAGCCGTAAAGTTCACAAAGTGAGAAACACTCACAAAGATACACACTTAATGAAAAATTGGATTTCAAAACCTTGATCAAACTTGCAATGCTTGAAAACTACTGGAAACAAATTAATTATACGCTGTTTAGTTCAAAACAGTTAAACCGGACAATTGAAGCAGAGGTAAACTTTCAGAATTCTCAAAGCTTAAAACAACATAGAAACCATGGAAATTAAAGGTGCAGCCCCGATCTTCGGTCCAACCAGCGATCCCCAGATATTCATCAAGGACACTCAATTGTACACAGTACAAGTCAAATCCCTTAAATGGTTAAACAAAAAAAAGGTCAAATTACAATCTTGAACAACACAACGACCCCATCACTATCACCAACGAAAAAAATTTGACTTTCACTTCACTTCTCATTGTACTAAGCAACCAAGCAACCAAACAACCAAACACAAACTCAACAGGAAAAATTGAAATTGAAGATTCCCATCACCGAAATCGAAATCAAAAGAAATTCATCAACACTTGCAGAAGCAAAGCAACATGAAATTTGGATTAAAAGCGCAAGGGTGGTGTTAGAAGGAAAAAAACCTGAAATTGAGAGGAATCAGGAGGTTGTGGCATGTGGGAGTGAAAGAAGTGAGTCAGATAGAGAGAAGGAAAGTGTAGAGAGAGAACTGAAAGAGCCGAGATTATCGGTGTGAAGAAAGAAGGTGGAGGGAGAAAGAGAGAGAAAGAAAGAGGACCACTTTGTGACCATCATTTCCATGCTCCATTCATTCCCTCGTTTACTCCTTTTTTTTATATATATATATATTTTATGTTAAAAGTTGGAAACCACTTTATTTTCTACTAATGAAATTTGATAATTCTTAATAACTTTTAATTCATTTTTTAGTGTGACTGATTATTTAAATATGATATCTTTAATAGCTTTTTTCACCTAAATATGCTTAATGAATTGTACACATTGAAAAGAGGTGTTAGAGTTTCTCAACTAATGGTTTTGATGATCCTATGGAAGCTAACCACTGATTAAATTTCATGGTCTTCAAATAAACATTACATAGGATGGGGTTTTTACAACTCTAATTGCAAAAATGGATAATTCTTTATTATGAATATGTTACAATCAATTCTCATATTCTTCTTCATCAGCAAAAAGATACATCCTTTATATTTGGGGAGATGCAGATTCAGTTTCTTATCACCTTGATGATTATGTAGTGTGGCAAAACAACAAGCAGGAGCACTATGAAAGTCTCCAAAACCTAGCATTGATACATTTTCTTTTAATCTTTCAAATGTTTCCGCTGACAGAAAAGAAGTGTAGAAAAAGGTGTTGGGTCCCCTTTACTTGAAAGTGGGTAAAAAAAAAAAAAAAAAGAGAAAATGGGAAATAATTAATATGCTATTATAATATTAATGGTAAAATGATATTGAAAAAAATATGTATTCCAAGTATATCACCTTTATTATTATAGATTTTAATGACAAAGTTGGGACCACTTCATTGTCATCCTTTTTCATCTCTCACTGTTAATGTATGAATTTTGAATAAATCTTTTATTTCCATCATAAATATACTAAATAATTTTAAATATTTAAATTTCATTTTAGTTAGTTAACAAATAATAGAAACGGATAGTAACACAATTGAAGAAATAAGTTTATTATTTAAATGCGTTACCGATATTTAATTTTCCAGTCATGGAAAAACATTTGTTGTGTGATAGAAAATCTCGTAAGTGAATCATAATGTTTTAAAGAATTTTAAGTTAAGTTGATGACAGTACTTTAATCAAATTCTTAAGCAAAATATTATTCGATTCTTAATAACTTTAATTTCAATTAATTCGTACAACACAAAGATTTGAAATATAACATTGTAATTAACCTTGCTGGATTAGAAAATGAAATCCCTATCTAAGTTCTTTAAATTAAGAATTACTCGTCTGATTCTTGTCACTTTTAAATGACAATATTTTCAATTTTTTTTTACTTATTCAATACTGTAATCTCAATTTTATGTAAATGGGAACCATGAAAAAGAAAATGTTTGTTTAATGAAATTACTTTCATTACAATTATTCGAAAATATTTTTTACAGTTTTGTTAACTATTTATTGTAACTCCTTATCAATAAGATTATCCAATGGTGAAATAAAAAAATAGTCTCTAACTGAATAAAATTAATTATCTTAAAATTATTATTTTTACCAAATTTAGTTAAACAAAAAATATGCTAATTATAGAAGATCTCAACAATAATTAGTTTTATATAATTAATTTTCAAGATAATTTAAGTTTTACGACTATTTTTAATTCTCAATCGGATTCACTGATTAATTTATTTATTGTGGGGATGTTGTTTGAAGTAAGGAGTGAATTTGGGATAATGAAAAAAAAATGAAATTCTTTGAATTGAAGAAAATAATAAAAAATAAAAATGATAAAATATTAAATAATAAGACAAATAAATAATTAAAATATATTTGCATAATTTAAATAAAAATAAAATTAAGATAGATATAATTTGATATGAAATATTTATTTAATAAAATAAATAAAAATATAATTAATTCATAGATAAATATTATAAATAAATATTAATATAATAAATAAGTTATTTATTTTTGTATTATTATTATTTTAAAACAACTAAATATATATAATTTATTTTTTACATATTTTATTAAAAATATTTTTAAATAAAATATTCTAATTAAAATTTAATATTTTTTTAAAATTATATAAATTATATGTTTCAATAATGTATAAATATACATTAAAATTAAATTATTTAAAAAAAATATATTTAATCAACGTATTCTTTAGTTGGATAATCGTTTAAGAAAAAACTTTTATATTTTTATATCTTTTATAAAAAAATTAAAAGTATAGTTTAATTAAAAAATTATTATAAATGAATTATCATAAAATAAAATATGAATTATTAAATATATTAATTTTTTTAATAATTTTTATTAAATAATGTTATTGATAAAAAATGCTCTTAGTTAATATAATTGATTAAAAATTTATATGGTGTGCAAATTTAATTTTATATAAGATAATTTTTATAAATGTTTTAAGGATAAAATATTTTTTAATTAAAAAAAATAATTTATTTTAATAAAAAATTATCAAAATAAACTTAATATAAGATCAATATAAATATTTATAATTAGATAATAATGTAAGAAAAAATATTTATGTATAATTTATTAAAATATTTATATAAAAATAAAAATCATAGCCTTAAATATATTATGCATATTACATACTTAATTATGTAAGAATATATAATTAATTATATAAAATTTATTCGTTGTTATATATGACTACCGAGAATTAACACAATATATTCCGGTAAATTAATGCTTTCATTTCTTCCTTAACAGACCATATTCCTGCTCTTCAAGTCAGAAACACTGTTCTTTGACCACCATAAAACATTTTAAGGGTCTCTTTCTTGGAGAAGGATCAGTTAGGATTATACATCACATAAATGAATAATTTCATACTAAAGTTCCATGCAATATTATCATATAAAAACTTCAATATCAATCTGTTTTAATAAATAAAAAAAATTATGTATTTAATATTTATAAAAGGAGATCCATTCCAATCCAAATCATGCACAAATAGCCCACATTAGCTGATTTTAGCAGAACTTGAGCAAGCTACATTGAGCAAAACAGCATAAAAATATTAAAGAAAAACAAACGATTTCCGGAGCAGAAAACGGATTTATTTGTATATATTACATTACATAACTTACATAGTGACTTCTATGTCTTGACTATTATGTAGCTTACACTTACATAAACCCCAGATGCAGGCAAAATTTTGAATAGCCTATAAAAGTTTCATGCCTATGTATGTCTTAATCACATGAATAATCATCATCCCAAAAATTAGAATCAAAAGAAGGAAATTAAATGAAAAGAAAACATGTAATGCTACGAAATGTAGTTGTTTACTGCTTCACGTCACTTGGGACGTGCTTTGACCCCCTGTAGCAGATAATAATATGTAATAAGATGAAAATGCAATGGTTGTCCTATTCTGTGTCCCTAAAGCTTTCACTAGTCAGCCACATTTTCTTCTGGAAGATAAGAACAACTTCATTACCATCTTGGACAGAGTCAGAACTTGCTTCCCAGTGCAAAGCACTTACGTACTTCTTTATAAAATCAATCACTGGCTGTTTATCTCGGATGATCACAAAACCGGTGGGCCGAAGCACACGATCCATCTCGATTAATAGATCTTCAAGACTGCAATCTCTCTTTTCTATGTCAGAAAAGACAGTCCATGCATGAAGTAAATCATAGGTCCTGGGGTATGTTGAGAATGCTTCACACCTGTTTCAGATGACCACATCAAAACTTACTTATTTATCATTCATGGTAGAAGTACAAACAAAATATAACAACTGAATCTAGAATAAGTAACAATTCTCAAGAAGTTTAGTCAAATTACTCCATTCTCTCAACCATCCTGGTTAACTACTAAGTCCACATAGTACATTATTTTCTAGTCTATATCATATAATCCTTCAGTAAGGCTGCATTAGTCACTGCATACTGATATAAAATTGTAATCACAAAATTATTTAATAAAACAAGCATGACAGGTTTAAACACTGATTTTACATACAAAAACCCAAAATCAATCGTCATTTTATCCTTAAATTAGTTATACAAGTTAATACTTAGTTTCAAATGCACTTTTTATTTAGAAACACGAGAAATAAAGCAACAATCTGGACTGAGTGTAAATAATGCTTTTTGGCAGAATGCAGTTTATTTTAAGATTAAAGCAAGAATACTATTCATATTTGATTAAATTATTATTAAGATGAGTTTTGCAGTGGTTTTTAGGAATAAATATATAAAACAAGAACCATAGGTAATAATATACTACACGAAAAATACAGGCCAAATTGGAAATGTACCAAATCAGATCAGTAATTTACAGGTTGTAAAAATGAAATGCCTTAAATACAAGGAAATTAATCAAAGAAGTAATAAATATGTAATTCAAGTAGTCTAGATTGAATACCAGTCATGAATAGTTCCAATGAGGCCTCTGTCATATATGATCTTAAGTGTGTTTGGTCCATCATGGGGTACTACATTCATAACCCAAACATTCTTGTCTCTAAGAGCTGCTGCAAATGAACCCATGTTTGCCTTCATATCCATAATATTCCTCAACGTGTTTGATGCAATTTTTGGACTCAAGAGATCCCAGTACTTCTCAACTCTCCTTTGCCATTGTTCCTGCGGATGATGAAATTTTAGCCAACAATTGGTTTATCTAAAATAATATTGTTGTACTAAAAAAATTCTATGTAGTTCTAAAGAATTAACTAAGATCATGAACAAGAGGATCAATTGTAGTTCTGATTACCGTATCCTTTTCAAACATTTCATTTGAATAGCCAAAGTCAGCTAATCTAGGAGGAGGACTAGTCAATCTTGCAGGCCATGCAGCTAAACCACTACCCTTGGCTCTGTTATCATCTGATAAAATAAACAAAAGTTTCAACAGTCAAGTTTCATATACCACGGCTCTTCAAAATGTTTTCTACTTTAATCATTAAACAAAATAAAGTAAAAAAAATCAATGCAGGACTTTTGCACTTTAGGAGTTGGGATACAGGCAGCATGCACTGAAAGCAAATACGGATCCTCTACATCTAGACAGCAGCATGAGGCTCCCCTGATGTACGATCTGGAGATGGTAAGACATATTGTATCCAACCTTACCCCTGTGATTTGTTTCTACCACAAAAAAATTGTAACGACCAAGTCACAAGGCAGAGAGGCTTACTCTTTCATCCATCCATCCATTAGCATCAAATGGAACATCATGAATATACCTCAAATTAATAGATATTAAGAATTTTGGTAAGGTGTACTCACAACAAAAGCTCATGGCAGGTCATTTGTGGATAATACAAAACAAGATATACAAATACACTCAAAAGATGCACAACAAGGAGGTTTGTATCACAACAATTCCCTAATTTTCTCTGGAGAGAGAGTAAATAAAACAGTCATTCCCTGTTTAAAAGCCATTTTTTCAAGTGAAAATTCCTCTATTGAGAAAAAAGTAGTTCACCATTGACAGAGTCTTAGTATGCAACCAAGCTTCCTTCATCTATTTCATTTGCTTCAGAAGAGAGAGGGTAATGCATGCCACTAAAGAAGCAAGTATGAATTGATACTTGCAAAGAATAGAACCATGGAATGCAAACCCATCAAATAACACTGACAAAAGAGTACTCACGGTCACTGTAAGGTGTTATGCATGCTTCCATATTTACTCCCCAAACTGCATCTGGGTCATCATCAGACTGGCAAAGAGAAGGGAGAGTACCAGGTTCTCTTTCCATATAGCAGTCATTTAACGTAGGCTTTTGCCAGACAACAGTTTGGTTCCTCTTTGCTGCTATTTTCCAACACATACGCTCCACAAGGTCACTCATTTCTTTCCATATCCTGAGATCCTCTTCATCCTGAGCATATGCCTCTGGAGATGAGTATGCAAAATAACCTCCTGGTCTGAGCAATCGATCTATTTCTAGAAGTAGTATTCCATCTCTTTGAAGCCAATCAATTCGACAACGAGAACAATGAGCAAGTTCAAAAGATCTGCTTGGGTAAGGGAGTTTCTTAGTTCCAAGGACACCAAGATATGCAGGAATTCCTCTTTCTAGGGCAAATTGAATTTGATTCTGATGCACATCATTTGGTGCCAAGGACATTGCAATGATATCTGATGATAGAAGATATGCTCCAAAACTTGCAACACCACAGCCAACATCAAGCACTGTCCGCAATCTTCCTTCATTGTTTAGATTATTGTTTGAAAAGTTCAGCATCTGGCAATGTACACTGGAGTGTTCAGATAATGATATATCTGTGAATGCAAGCAAATCTAGATAAACAGAATATATATCAAACAACTATCACTATTAAGTCTGGTACTTATGTTGAAAAGCATAATGACTTATGTAAATTTTAAAGAATACAAAGCCTATCATATCTTTCAAGTATTAGTGTTTCTTAAAGAGTAAGCTATCGGGTAGACCACTGGATACATATATATGGTTTTAGCTCTCAAATTTAATCCCTCACACACGCTTGAAGCAAGTGCAATGTATAGGCTCACTGTTCACTTGTGATAATTTAACTTATCATTGTTAAAATTTGGGTAGCAAAAATCAAATTCTTGATCACTTGATACAACATTAAGGACCATTTTCTCCAGAAGCTCATGCTGGAGACATGCTAAGTGTGTAACTAAAAGCATATTACACGGCTGCAAAGACAAACTGCATATACATGCAAATAAAAAAAAATAAAAAAGTTGAAATATTGAGAAAATAAAAGAATAGGAAAGAAATAAATGAAGTCGACATAAAATACAAGCACTTCAAATGAATTATTTTAACATCGTTTTAAATTAACCAACACTTAATATTTCATGTTTCATTAATTTCTTTAAGAAATAAATATTTTTTAAAAATTTTTAGGAAATCTTTTATATTTGTATAGGCATTCAAATAGATAATGTTTTAACAAGCACACAAAATCCATAGAATATTCAATACAAGGTACCTACGGTCTCATTTTTTTATAGGCATACAGTCAGATACAGACTTACATTTGCAATTGATGCAATGTACTTATCGGCTCCATTGTGAAAATGAGTCCCACCTCCAGGAAACACTATTTTTTCACCTTTTACAACCATCCAATTCTGGTCAGACTTCTCCTCTGCAAGGTGAGTATGTGGGATATTTGCTTTCCACACCTCATCTCTGCTTTGTGGCCACTTAATAGGGACCTGCAACATTATAGAAACAACAAATGTTGGAGTGGAATAATACATATGTATCAGAGGGTATGTTGGAAATCACATCTATTCAAATAAATCTTCACCTTGTATCCTGGTGGAGGAGGGATTAAGCAATTGTACCGCCGCTCTGCAGGTGGACAATGTCTTTCATAGTGCTCCATCACAGAACGTTCCAACTTCACCCTCATTTGGTAGATAAGGTTTCTATCTAAGCAGGGAATTAACTCTGAATGACGATCATCACAAACCTTCAAAAGCATAAACATGGTAAACTCCGTGAGACTTCTGATAAGCCAAAAGTATATTTGGATGATGTGCATCAACTTGATTGTGTCCACTTATTTATCTATGAAACTAGAAATTTTATTTCATTATGTAAACAAAGGCCCTTATTGCTTGATTTGGATATTATTGTGAATGGGATATAGAATTAGCTTTCTTCAACTTTTACTTTTCCATTTATGATACATTTCAAGCATATTACTCATGTATTATTTACCAAAACTTACCAAACTATCACACTTGAATTTGTGAGTTTGGCAACCGAAATTCAAATAGAACAGTATATAAGATATTTCATTATTATGAATACTACTGACTAAACCAAACAGCTATAGCAAAAACAAAAAAAATCAAAGATGTTCGATGAAGCATAAATGATGGCAATAGCAAGGATGAAGATGTTGCGTCAAGCCATTGAGAAAGAATGCATGTGCCCTATGTCTAAGCTTACAAAGCAACATACAGGGAAACTCTTTGGAACAATATTGGTCTCCCCTTCTCCTTCCTTGAAACCTGATGAAGACTCATCTTGCTTGCCATCATTGTCATCCTCTGCAACTAAATCTGATGAGCCAAGTCTTTTCAATGAAATGCCATGTTCAAGAGAAGATGAACCACTACTCAGAGAACCAAAGATGGATCCACCATACACATACAGAAAACCAAGAAAAATTGCCACAACACAGATGGAAGCAACTAAATGCTTTTGTTGTGATCCATCCGATCTTCCCCTCGACATTTATTAGTTGAAATTATAAGTCCAAACTGCAACTCTCACTGTTCCGTTACGGACTAAAAGAATCTTGTTTCACCCGATATTCAATGTCCAATTCCGGTACTTCAAATTATGAACAGGACAAACAGTTTCCTCACAATACACTGACTACATGATTAACCTGCAAACAAGAGAAGAGCAATTAGCAAAAGTGATACAGAAATTCATTACTTTGCTGTGATTCTTTTACTTTTGATTGAATCATAGAGCTTAAAGAAGTACAAAATATTATACCATAATCGCAGACCATTACTACACTTTTTTCATCATGAAAACATCTAAACTATATTAAGGAAAACGGATCAATACAAAACCAGTTTCAAACTTCTTTATGAGAACAGATCCGTGTATATTGCTTTATACCCTTGCGGGTTGAAGTTCAATGAGAGATGCATGCAAGGCACAGCCAGCAAAGAAAGATTGTCATAGCACCAAGGACATTCATAAACAAATAATAGCAATGTGCATGGAGCCCAAACAAAATGATCCCTTGTCCTATTAGTCTAGATCAGACAAGAAAGAAGTGGCCAATGAGCAATAACCAAATCACTAGAAAATTTATTGATTGTTAAGATATTGTCTAACTACTTTATTGTCAAACATGTTATTCCTAGTGCGTGACTCAAGCAATTGCACTTTAGTCTAACAATCAGTTACCGTTCAATTCTATCCTAGTTTTCTGCAATATTTTGGCCTAAACATACCAAGGAAGAGGATTATTTAAAAGAAGAAAAATAAATAAATGAAGGTGAAGAGAGCAAAGATGACCGTTATGCTTGCTATTAAAGTGACAGCAAACCAGTGAAAACGATGGATCCAAACCCTTAAAAAAAACATGATCTAAGGTGACAACTGATAAGTAAACAAATCCTTTTGCACATGAACTATCTTAATGACAAACACTAACCACTCAGTTGAACTGAACTTGCAGATCTAGCACAACAACAACAAATAATCACCATTAGCACTAAAACGGGTAACACTCATCAACAACACCAAATCACAAAATAGAGTCTAAGGTACATTCACTAGGTCACAACTATGACCACCAACACTAAAACGATCCAGATCCATCACAACCGCCACGCCACACACACGCAAAACGAACTTAATAGAAGTAGCATGAAAAAAGAAAAAAAAAACTTACTGGGTTTAGATCAAAATCCAATTGCGTGCAAGAAAGTGAAATCAAAATCCCAACTTCGACCCCAAAGGAAGGCTTTTAGACGATAGGTAGAAAAAAAGTAAGAAGGAGAGAAAGAGGGAGACGGGATCTCGGCAAGTGTCTGAAGTTCGTTGTGTGTACGTGTGTGACAGTGGAGCAGTTCAATGATCCTCTTAAGAAGGTGAGTTAATTTTGTTCAAGTGATGGGGTGTTGGAACCTGAAAGAGTTTGCAAGAGTTGAAGACAGCAAATTGACCTGTGATTAAGGTGGCAAGACTTTTGTGGTGTGTGATATGATGTGGGTAGGATGGGTACCACTGAGATTGAATTTTTGGACAAACAAAGTGGGTTTCCACTTAACATGTAACAATCATGTCACGCCATGCCACACGGCACTACAGCCTTTTTACAACTCTGCTGCCAGTGGGTGCTGTCTATTCTTTTCTATGCAATAATTTTTCAAAATAAGGTCAAATTGCGGAAAAAGGATTCAGCCAAAGAAAAAAAAGTTTATCTATTTCACACATGACATTGGTGAAATAATAACGGTTTCTGCTTAAGAAACTAATTGAAAGTGAACTGGGGATGTTATAGCTATAAATTTTAGACAGTGAATGTTTGCTTTTTGAGATCTCTTCCTTGCCAAAATAGATAACAGCCCATTAAACCTATGTCTAGTAGCATTTGGATAAACTGTACTTCGGTTTCTTTTAATTTTTCACATCGCTTTCATTTTCTTTTTCCTTAATTTTAATTTTTAAATTTAAAAAATTCATAGTTTTGATATGTTTTATTATTTTTATTTTAATCCAATTAAACTCTAAACTGTGTATATTAATTTAAAGTACCTTCAAAAATCATTCAATTAATTAAAACTAATAAATAAAAAGCTAAAAAAACGCTATGCTAATGTTATAAGTTTTCTAAATCGAAAACAAAAACACATAATAAATAAATAAATCAAAATCCTAAATAAAAATTTGAAATAAGTACAACTAATAAATAATTTTAATATTTTAACTTTAATAATTAGAATCAATATTTGGCTTTTGTTGGATTCATGTATTTATGTCCCTTCCAAAATCACATACGATGTTGGGAAAAAAATTATAAAATCATTAAGTATTTTTTAATAATAAATTTGTCCAATATTTTTCATAAACTAAAGATTCATCTTCATTTTGAATTTATATTTTATTAACTAAGTATCATAAAACCACGTGTTAAAATATTAAAAACTCGTTTAATTTTATTTTTGAAAATAATTATAGAAATCAACTTTAAACTGTTTTTTTAACTTGATTGGTATTCTAAATTATAAACTATATTAAATAAAAAATAATACTAATAACTATATGATAACAAAAGATAAAAGAGATAATAGGATATAACTATTCATCACGGATGGGCATAAATAATAAAAACACATTTTATCAATTATGTCTTTTATTTTTAGTTTTTTAAAACCTAAAAAAATTGAAATTTATTTTATCAAATAATGATAAATTTTTTAAAGAATATAAAAATAAAAAATATTTTTAAAAATAATGAACAAGTAAGTCCTAATAAATACAATTTTATTAAAATTCATTAAAAATCACAAAATAACTACTAATGATTGTTTAGGATTTAATAATTAATTTAATCTCTATGTTATTTGAATAGTAATCCTACTAATATGTACATTTGCATCTTGACTTTCACAAAACACTTTTATCTCTTTTATTATTATTACTTTTTCTCACTTGTTATATATATATATATATATATATATATATATATATATATATATATATATATATATATATATATATATTTCTCTCTCCTTAACTGTTTTCTTATAAATAACCTAAAATTTAAAAAATTTATTGTTTTTTTAAATGCTTCAAAATAATTTAATACATCTTCAATAATTTGTTTTAAATAATAGTATAATTCAATTTACATATTAATGAAATACAATATTTTAAATAAAACAAACCCTTCAATATGTTTTACATTATTTTCGAATAAGATAAATATTATAAATAATATTTATATTGAATTTCTAAAACTTTCACCAGAAAATCATATTTCTAATTAAATAAATAAATTATTTATTTATAATCTTTATAAAATATTTAAGAATTTATTTTATTTAAAATATTATATTTTATTTAGATTTAGACTAAATTATATTATTAATTAAAATAAATTCATTATAACAAAATCATTAATCACCGAGCGGATATATAACCATCAGAAAATAATTGATTACGACTGAAATTACTGACAAATTTAAATTAGTTATGAAATTTGGTTTTACTTGATGGATATATCCGCTCGGTAAATGAATAATTAATTACCGATCGAATATATTCGTGGTAAATGAACAATTAGTTATCGATCGGATATATCTATAAGTAAATTAATAATTAGTTACCAACGGATATTACCGACTGATTTAAAGTATATTTTTAAAAATCAACCTTAAATTAAAAAAAATAAATATTTAAAATTATATAATAATTACTTAATTTTAAATATATTCTAATAAATTAATTATTCACTTAATTAAAAAATTAAATACTTTTTTATTTAATAATTTAATTTAATCATAATTAGATTAATTTATAATAATTTGTTAAATTAAATAATTTTAAAATTAAATATTTAAGTATTTTTAATATTGAAAAAATTATTTTAATATAAGAATTTTAATTACATAATAGAAAAAATAAAAGATAAAAAGAATAAATTAAAATAAAATAAAAAAGAAAAAAATTATTTTATATCATTATATAAATAAATTATAAAGATTATATTCTATCATTAAATTACAAACCCCTATAAAAAAACTCGCTCACAAATTTGGCATCAAAATTTTGAAAACTCACTCGACACACACTTTCACCTTCAAGTGTGTCCTCACATCCAACATATAAATATATCAAAATATATAAATATATTTATATTTATATATTTTGTATTTATATATTTACACATATATATATATATATATATATATTTATTTGTATATAAATATAATTTATTTATAAATTTATTATCAGAAAATCTTAATAGCTTAGTGGTTGAAGTATCAACCTCCAACTTTAAGGTAATTATGTAATAAATAAATGTGAGTTTGAATTTACCGACAACACAATTAATGACGAATTTTTTTCCTTTCTTAAATGGATTTTAAATTACTTAAAGCATGATTTTTTTAAAAATACATTATTTTTTCATTTTTAGAAAAAAATAATTAAAGAGGGAAGAAATAAAAGAGATATGATAAAATGAGTTAAAAGAAAAAAAAAGATGAACAATAATAACAAAGAGATAAAAATATTATGTAACTAAAAACACTGAATGAGTTGTCTATGTTTGAAAATATGACTTATATATAAGTAATCATGTTAAAATTATAAACTTATTTCAAATCACTTAATCTCATAATATTTTTCCTTAGAGAAGGATTTTTATAGAACTGTTTATATGTTAAATTATATTATCACCCATTAATTATATACTTTGATCCTAATCATTTTGTTATAATAAGAAATCGGTTTTTGTTATTTTTAAATAATCAAATTTTAATTAATTTTATATAAAAAATTAACTGATTTTAGAACAAAATAAAAATCTAAATTTTAATATATTTTTTTATAAAAATATAATATAATATATTTTTATTTTTATTTCATATTAAATATGATAATTTTAAATAATAATTATTTTATTATATTTTTATTTTATTTTAATTATTTTTATCTTATATTTTTTTAATTTTTTAATATATTTTATATCAGCAATCTTTATTATAATTTATTATTTAATGAAAAAATTATTATGTTTAATTTATTATATTATAAAAAAATATTATTTTATTAAATACGATTAGATCATAATTAAAATTTAAATAAATTTTTATATCCTAACATTTCTTAACGTAATTATTATAAAAAATATTTATAATATATTTAATTGAAAAATAAATAAATAAAATAAAATAAAAAGTGTATTAGTTTATTTAAAGGAAAAACAACATAAAAATTGTTATTTTTATTATTAAATAATTAATAATTAATAATTATATATATATATATATATATGTGAAAAAGGTGACATAGAGATTATTTTTAAAAATATTTTATTATATTTTTTATTATGTTTTCATATATGAAAAAATAAACATGTGACACCTGATAAAAAATATCAATTTTTTATGGACCTTTTTTTCGTATCAAATATTTGATTAATTATATAGTGTACAATAAATTCCACTATGAGTAATTTGATTTTTAATTAATATTAACTCTAATTAAATCTAATAAAAGATTAGTACAGAATTAAAACCTCGTTCAGCAACCGTTATTTCTTCTTTTTAACCTTTACTCTTATTTTAAAACATGATTTAAATATTTTCATAAATTATATAATAAAGAGCATGAATATTATTAATTTAAATTATTTTTAATTTATTTTAAAAAATATTTTAAATATATCCATTAAACAAATAAAAAACATGTTAAATGTATGAAAAAATGGAAAAGTATGTATAAAAGTTGATACTTGTGATAAAGTTATGCCAATAACAAATATTTTATTATTAACTAAAGTTAAAATTGAACATTCAAAACAATGACTATTATACAATTAAAATTTTGAATTTTATTGAATTATTGATCAATTAATTACTTATAATTTTCAACTTCATATATAAAAGTGTATAATAATTAGCATTAATGTGAGTATTTAGTTTTATAATGAAACCCATATTTTTTTACACAATTAAACATAATTAAATGAAACCAATGACTTTTGTAATATTAAAATGCTTCAAGACACATTGAATGTTGCTTCATAAATATTTTTTTAATGATATTATTAAGCTACTTAACCTGGTGGAAGAACCTTTCAAAAATTA